TTTAGCCCAGGCTGAAGTGCAATGTCTCAATCTCGGCTCACTACAGCCTCCAGCTCCCAGGATTCAAGCAATTCTCCTGTCTCAGCCTCTCGAGTAGCTGGAATTACAGGCACCTGCCATCATGCCCTGCTAATTTTTTTTTTGGTATGTTAGTAGAGATGGGGTTTCACCATGTTGGCCACGATGGTCTTGAACTCCTGACCTCAGGTAATCTGCCCACCTCGGCTTCCCAAAGTGCTGGGATTACAGGTGTGAACCACTGTGCCCGGCCTAATGATACATTGTACATTTACTCATGAATTCTCTCTCTCTGTCTCTTTCTTTTTTTTTTTTTCTGTCTTTTTTTTTTTTTTTGCCTCTCTAGCTTTATTGAGGTATAACTGACATGCAATAAACTACATATAAAGTTTACAATTTCATGAGTTTTAAACACATCCACAGAATCGTCTCCAAAATCAAGACAGTGAACATACCCATCATCCTCTGGAGTTTCTTTGTATCCCTTTGCCGTCTGTCTTTCCCACCCACTTTTGCCCCTTTCCCCCAGCCTCGGGCAACCACTGATATGCTTTCAGTCACTATACATTTGTTTGCATTTCTAAAAATTTTATGTAAATGGAATCATATAATCCGTACTTCTTTTTTCAAGAGTCTTTCACTTAGCATAATTATTTTGAGACTCATTCACATTGTCCTGCATAACAATAGTTCATGTTTTTTTAAATTGCTGAATAATACTCCATTGTATGGATACACCACAATTTGTTTCTCCATTTTACCCTGAATGAGCAAATGGGTTGTTTCTATTTTTTGGCTATTACAAATGAAGTTGCTATGATGAATCTTGTACAAGTCTTTTCTGAAATTATGCTATCTTTTCTTTCAGGTAACGATCTTGGGATATGTTTGGTATGTATTTAACTTTTAAAGAAACTACCAAACTGTCTTCCAAAGTGGTTGTATCATGAAAGTTCCACCGGTTCCACATTTTTGCCAATACTTGTATGGCCATTTAAAAAATTTTAGCCATTCCAATAGGTGTGTAGGGTGCCTCATTATGGTTTGAATTTGCATTTTCTTAATGACTGATTATATTGAGCATCTTTTCATGTTCTTACTTGCCATCTATCTTCTTTGTTGAAGTGTTGGTTCAAATCTTTAGCTCATTTGAGAAATCGGTTGCTTTCTTTTGTTGGATTTTTAGAGTTTGTTGTATTTTTCTGGACATAAGACTTTTATCAGAAACGTCTTGTGCAGAGTCTCTTGAAATGTGTGGCTTGTCTTTTCATTCTCTTAGCAGTGTCTTTCAATGGGTAAAATGTTTAGTTTTGATGAAGTCCAATTTTTTTTTTTTCTTTTATGGATTGTATTTTTGGTGCCATAGCTGAGAAATTTTTACCTGAGACTCAAGTTAACACAAATTTTTCTTCTATTTTTTAAGAAGTTTTATAGTTTTAGGTTTTACATTTAGATCTATGATCTATTTTGAATTAATTTTTGTGTGTAGTAAAATGTGTGGATTGAAGTTTATTTTTATTTATTTTAAATTTAATTTAATCTTTTTATCTTTGGGCAGCCTCTCCAGCCAGAGCATGCTCAGAGAGACTCCTTATTTTTATTTTTGATATGATATCCAATAACTTCAGCACCATTTGTTGAAAAGTTATTGTTTCTCCACTGAGTTGCCTTTGCACTTTTGTCAAAAATCAGTTGTCCATATATGTGTGGGTCATTAGTTCTTTTTTTTTTTTTTAAAAGAAGACATGACCATTTCATAAACTTAATGAGCCATATCAGTTGTTCATTATGAAGACGTAATGCTTCATAGCCTTGGATCCTTTCTTGAGGTTTGTGGTTGAATCTAGTTTCACAACTTGGTGTAGGCACTGGCCTCAGATTAGGACAGAATTATTCCTATAAGGCCAGATAACTTTTTTTTTGTTTGTTTTAAAGGGTAGAATTAATATTTGTTTGTCATTTATAATCAGATGGCAGTTGGGTATATAGTCTCCATACTTCATTATTTTTGGTAAATAAAAAACTACAAGTTTTAAATAGTTAATGGCTCATTATGTTTTCAGAAAACATGATTAGACTAATTTATTAATGGTGGCTTCAAGTTTTCCCTTATTAGCTCCAAAAACTGGAGCCCACCCACCTTTCATTCCTTTTAAAAAAACTGGAAGATGGCATTCATTTCTTCATACTCTGAAGCGAACATCCCATCCTGACAGTTATCCACATCTGCTTTGAGGAACACCACGCTGGAATACTTTTCAGCAAGGGAATGAAAGAAGGGCTTGATCATTTTGCAAGGCCCACATCATGTGGCTGAGAAGTCAACTACAAGTTTATCCCCTGCAGCATCTGAGCCTTCCTGAAAAGCAAACTTGCTCTTCTGCTTCACCATTAAGACTGTTGGGGTCTGATGACTGACTGTAAGAACCGATGGAAATGGATTCAAAGTGCTGGACTGAGCTTTGGCCAGCGGACCTTTGTCTTTTGGATTGTCCTCTAAACCCTGATGTTGAACTCATTTTCTAACAGGAAGGACAGACTAGTATTTCTGTTTTCTGGTTGACTGATCAGTTTTCCTGATTGCCCCTAATGCCACATCTGGGTTTTCACCGGGTCCCAGCTAGCTCTCTTCTTTTCTCCCCTAAATGAAAACTTTAATGACTTTACTTAATCTAGTCTCTGCCCTTAAGTATCTGAAATATCAGCCTCTTAGACCAAAGATAGGCAGTTTAATTTTATCAAAGACCATGAGCCTGGGGGGAGGAAATCAGTCAAAGGTCACTTAATAAGCCAGCTTAATTGAAGTGGTTTGGTCTCCTTAGGGAAATGTAAAATATTCAACTCAGCAGCTTAAAAATGTTTTTATTGAGATATAACTCACATATCATAAAATTTACCCTTTAAAGTTGCACATTTCAGTGGTTTTTATTATATTCACGAAGTTGTGAACCATCATCACTATCTAACTCTACCCGAAAATAAACCTTATACCCATTAAGCAGTCACTTTTCATTTTTCCCTCCTCCCAGCCCCAGGCAACCACTAATCTACTTTCTGTCTCTATGAATTTGCCTATTCTGGATGTTTAACATAAGTGGCATCATACAATGTATGGGCTTTAATATCTGACTTCTTTATATAGCATAATGTTTTCAAGGTTCATCCATGTTGTGGCATGTATCAGTACTTCATTCTTTGTGGCTGAATAATATTTCATTGTGTGGATATACTTCATTTGGTTTATCCATTCATCAACTGATGGACATTTGGGTTCTTTCTACTTTTTGGAAATTACAAATGATGCTTCTATGAACATTTGAGTATGAGTTTTTATGTGGACACATGTTTTCAATTCTCTTGGATATATATCTAGGAGTTGAATTGTTGGGTCATATGGTAACTCTTTATTTAACTTTTTGAGGAATTGCCAAACTGTCTCCCAAGGCAGCCATACTATTTTACAGTTTTACCAACAATGCATGAGAGTTCCAATTTCTGCACATTCTTTTCAACAACTGTTATTATCCATTTTAAAAATTATAGCCATACTCGTGGATATGAAGTGATATGTCATTCTGGTTTTGATTTGCATTACCCCAATGACTAATGATGTTGAACATCTTTTCATGTGCATGTTGGCTATTTGTATATTTTATCTGAAAAAATGTTTATTCAAATTCTTTGCCCATTTTTAATTGGGTTGTCTTTTTACTTTCTTTGTTATTATTATTATTTTAGAGATGGGGTCTTCTGTGTTGCCCAGGCTGGCCTTGAGCTCCTGGGCTCAAGTGATCCTTCTCCCTCAGCCTCCTGAGTAGCTGGGATTATGGGTGCTGGCTTATTTTTGTACTTTCTTAATAGTGTGCTTTGAAGCACAAAATTTTTAGTTTTGATGAAGTCCAATTTATTTATTTTTTCTTTTGTTGCTATGACCATCTGTTTTTTAAATTAAACTCAGAAATCCTAAAGCTTTTCCATTAAGCACAACAAATAATAAAACTCCATATCTTAATTCCATGTTGTAGCAACTTAAGGAGGTGGAATTGATATCAGGGAAAGGGAGAAGATGGGGGTAGATTCTTTACTTGGACTTTAGACCTCAAAGTATGAATGTTAGCAACTGCTTTTGAGCATTGAGCACATAATCATCAAGGATAATTAACTCTTTGGGAACTGCCCTAATCATTAAACCTTTAGTAGCTTTCTTCTGGAAGGGGAGAAGCCCCTGCTACCAAGACGGAGCTCACTCTCTGCACTGCAGCAATGTTACCTAAGGACAAGTGAAAATGAAGATAAAGTGTCAGAAAAAGGGAGAGCTTTGCAGTTGGGCTGTTGGGAGTCTCCACTGGGTTCTCTGGAACTAGATGCTGCAACAGAGGTAGAAGTGCAACGGGGAGGACATCTGTGAATGGAAAAGGGAGGAAGCAGTTTGGCCAGGAAGAGCTCTTGGCCTCTGATGCAGACTTGACAAAGCCTCTGCCAGTCTAATGGGGTACTCCGAGCAAAAATCGCTTGTTAGAGGAGTTCCACATTGGTAGAAGAGGGATGGGCCATTGTGCTACCACCTTGCTCAGTCATTGGCTGGGAGCTGCCTTAAGAAGAGAGTGACTGTGGCTTAAAAACTGAGGTGGTCCTTGAAGGAACTAATTGCTGGGGGCAAATAAAACCAACATTATTGGTAGCAGGGGAGTGAGTCCTTTATTGAAGGGGCAATGTAAGCATGGAATCTCCATGTCTGCCATACAGACAAACATGAAGTTCAAATTCCAACAACATGTGACCTTAGGCAACCCCTCTTCTTCAGTTTTTCCATCTGTAAAATGGAGAAAATGCTTTCCTTACAGGGTTGTGAGAGGATTAAATAAGGCAAGAATGAACATAGTGTCTGATTCAGCACAGGCATTCGATAAGTATTAGTTCTTCCCTTTCCCCTAGATGAAAATAAGCCAAGGGAACATTCTGTTCTGCAAACCAGTTCCCACCCTGCTCTTTCTAAACTTCATTTTCTTTCAATTTCCAGGAGGGGACCAAGTCTCTGTGGCAGTTTCCTGATCTTCTGGATATGCTGCCATGCTGTCCCAAGGCTGGTGGTGTCCCCTGACTTGTTCCTCTCCTGACTTTCTCAGCCTGGAGACTGAAAGCTCTCTTTGACTGTTGGCCCTCCCAGGCAGAGTCCACCGGCTGTTAGGGTGAAATGGGGCTGATGCTTCCTGGAATCCACCAGAAGTATGCAAATTGCACCATCTCTTTCAGCTGCCTGCGCCTGCATTCCATCGAAGATTCCTGTAAGAAGAAACCATCCTGTTCCTCTTTGTAAGTGCCTCATTAAAGCTGGAGGACAAATTCCTCCTGCTTCACTTGCCCTGGGAGGTGAGATAGCACCTGAATGGGAAGAGGAGGATGTGCTCCGCATGATGTCATCCTTCTTGGTGTATTCTGACCACAGGGACGCTGGTGTCCAAGGCCTGGGTACTTCCTGTGTGCCTGATTCACTGGGGAGTCTCACCTCGTTGGGGTATAAACATGAAATGATTTTATTTCTTCCAGTAACTGCCCTGGCTGTGCTGTGCCAGATCTCTCTTTCCTGCTGAGGAGCCCCTCCCTTAACGATGTCTTGGTCTGGTTCCATAACTTTTCAGCCACTTTCGGTTACTATAACAGTGTCATTCCAGTAATTAAGACTCAGCCTCTTATATTTTTAAAACTTTCATCGCAAACTCGATTCAGAGCTCTTCTCTCCCATTCCCTCCACCACAAGTGAGAGTTGGGTCCTGGCTGTTTGGAGCAGTGGAGGGGAAGTAGGGCCTGGCTTGAAGGTGCCTCACCTCCTCCCTCCTCGGGCCTCAGCGTCTGTATTTGAGCAGAGGGGAGGGGTGGAGAGTAAGAGACCTCGTTACAGGAGTGTCCTTTACCCTTTCCTGTTCTGTGTGGCTCTGTTAGATGCTGAAGATCTCACACCACCCTCCTCCATCACTGAAAACCACCCTTTCCCCCTCTTTCCCTTACACAGATGCACCTCCCTTTACCCTCAACAACAGTACAGGCGCCCAATGACCCTTTGTTGACTTGGCCACGGGTACCTGGGCAAACCCTCAGCTCCTGCCCTTCTACTGACTTTCGTGCATCTCCATGTAGAGCTGCCGGGCCTGTAGGGATCCTCTCCCATAATCCTTCAAGGGCCCCACAACCCTGGGAAGGGAGAGCTGCCCCCATCTTCTTCCCAGTCATGCTGCCCCAGGATCCTTCGAGCCCTGCTAGAGAGGCTACTGTAGTGGGCCTCTTGCTTTCAGAATCTCCCGGACTCAGATGGGTACCAGTCTCTACATTCAAGTGCAGTCCCAGCCCTCAAAGTAAGTTCATCAGGCATCCCGCTTTTCCTTCTCACAGCTGGGGAGGGGAACAACAAGGGCACTGGGCTGCAGTTCTAGGCTCCCAGGATGACAAGGACTCTGATAGCGGTCTGTGCCTCTGAGGCATCAGGGAGAGTCTGGATTCCCTCTCCCTTCACACTGGGGCAGGAAAACACCCCTATCATCTCCACAGGGGCGAGGAGGGTGACTCTCCCTTGTTCTCTCTCAGTTCTGCTCTTTTTTTTTTTTTTTTTTTTTTTTTTGAGACGGAGTCTTGCTCTGTCACCCAGGCTGGAGTGCAGTGGCCGGATCTCAGCTCACTGCAAGCTCCGCCTCCCGGGTTCACGCCATTCTCCTGCCTCAGCCTCCCGAGTAGCTGGGACTACAGGCGCCCGCCACCGCGCCCGGCTAGTTTTTTGTATTTTTTAGTAGAGACGGGGTTTCACCGTGTTAGCCGGGATCGTCTCTCGATCTCCTGACCTCGTGATCCGCCCGTCTCGGCCTCCCAAAGTGCTGGGATTACAGGCTTGAGCCACCGCGCCCGGCCTCAGTTCTGCTCTTGACTGGAGATGGGCTGGGTGCCGGTCCATTTAGAGGTTGCTGCTGCCTTGAGCAGCGGTGTGCGGAGGTGGCTGGCTCCATCTGCTGGTGACTTGCTGGTAATTCTGTGGGGTTACTTGGCTCCTCTTGGCTGCGGGTCTAGCATAATGGGGAAACACGCTAGGACATGTCCAGCTGCAGGCAGTGCTATCCTGTCTCTTCTCTTTTAACCTGTGTTGAAGTTGTCTTTCCTCCTGGAAGGATTTCTTGATTAATTCCTACCATTTGACATGCTCCTTCACTGCTCACCCTCAGCACTCAGACTCTCAATTGGTAGTAAGTTCATGTGCCCACAAATGAAGCGTCTCTTGAGTAGTTTTCATGTGTTTTGAGGATAGCTAGTGTTTATTGAGCGCTTCCATGTGCCATCTACTGTCCCAAGCATGTCACATACTTCATCTCATCTCCTCACACCACAATCCAATGAGCCAGGTACTGTCACTGTCCCCATTTTACAAATGAGAAAACTGAGATAGAAATGTTAAATAGCATCCCTTAGGTTTACAGTCAGAAAGTGATGTAAAGAGGCACGCTGAACTCGGAGCTTCTACTGTCTACCGATATTCTGTTCTGCCTACTTGGTTTCATACTGTGATCCCTCTGCCTCCTCACCTCTCCTCATCCCTTACCCTGAAAGCCTTAAATAAGTATATGTGGATCACAGTGAAGTACTCCCCATAATATTTTTTTTGTTTACACTAATGGAATCTTCCCAGTTGGGGCTTGTGCAAGAGCTGAACTAGCCCTGGTGAGACTGTGGTCAACAAATAAATGGGCCAAACTGTGTGGTCATGTTGAAATCATTAGCACAGAGCCTTTGGACACAAGGACAAATCCTGCTCTAATATCTTAGATTAATTTTTTCCCAGGGAGGCCTAGAATCCTGACTATATACTCCTGAGAAATACTTTTCATTTGAAAAATGAGAATCTCTATTGTTTGCATAGTGCATGTACTTTCATCGTCTCCTAGATATATTTGCAACCACTCTGAGCAGAAGGTGTTAATATCGCTCTTGTTTCTTGGGTGAGGAAATGGAGGCATGGAGGTTAGCAACTTGTCTGAGGTTACACAGCTTGTATGTGCTGAAACTGGGATCCAGAGCCAAATATTCTGCCTCCACCCTGTCATGCCAAAGGGGTTATCCTTACTGCCATTTGCCAAGAGCCTCAGGCTCCTGACTCCTTTCTATGGTCTCTGTTTCTCCGTGGGCATTTCCTTCACTTTTAGCCATGCCCATGGCCCTTGATCCTGTCTCTTCTAGCCTCCCCACACTGGTTTGACCCACATCCTCTTCATCTTTCTCAAGGGCTGGTAGTACCCCTTGGAGTAGGGGGACCCGATCTTGAAGCCTTCTCACCACGGCCCCCAAGGCCCTGAAGGGGCTGTTCATTGCCTTTATCGGCTCTAGTCATGGCGGATGTTATTTATTGTCAGATAAATGTATTTCCAAATAAAACAGAAAACGAACAAATAAACACAGTGACAGAGCTGTAAAAAACCCTGCCGGCTCGCTCACTTGTAGAAAAGCCTGCACAACTAATTAACCCGAGTAGACCTCCGTGGTGTTTGGAAACAAGCTTGGAATTAATATTGCCATTCTCAGCTGCTGGAACCAGCCTCTAAATCTTTATTGGGTAGTAGCAAGAGAGAGACAGAGAGAGTTATAGAGACAGTAAGAGGCCAAGATGGAAGCAGATAGAGTGACAGAGGAAGATAAACGCAGCTAGCCATCTGCCTCCGTACCCATCCGTATCACCTTAGCTACACTCTGAATCCTAGACAGACAGACAGAGAGACAGACTGTGTTTCCTAAGAGCGAGAGATAGGAGAAAATAGAGGCTTTGTGAAGTTCAGAGTACATTTTGCTTCCATATCATTGAAGTCAGAGAATCAGAGGCTCCTGGACTGGAAGGGGCTTGTGAGAGGTCATCTAATTCAGTGGTTTAAGAATTATTTTTAGCAGCAAAACCTTTTCCTGAAATGAAATCATACACAGAAGGGCCATGTATAAAGCAGATGAAAGTGCACCTGCCCCATTTGGAGCTTGCTGCTCCTCCAAGCCCCTCCCCTCTTCCGCTACAGGGCAGGCCCTATGTCTTCTGGGTCTTCAGGGTTCAGGAGAGCACAGCTGGAAAATGAAAGCTGCTTGGCCTGTGGGTGGCAAGCCTTTGGGAGTGTTCCTGGTTCTTCTCTGGATTTAGGCTTAGCCCAATTTGAGAGTCCCCCAGAAAGGGGGTGTGGTAGAGTGGATACGCCAGTTGGTAAAAGAGGTGGGTTACCCAAGGGAATGCCTGCTCTCTTGCTCTGAACATGTTTGGTCCTTGAACTTTGATATTCACTTTCCCTGGAGATCTTTGTTGGCAGGAACTGAGGAACTGATTTGTTGACCTTGAGGTAAGGATGGCATCTCAGCTGGTAAGCTTCAAGAGCCAACCACCTGACCCAGACTTTGCCTGGAGGAGGCCTGTCATAGCTCCACATCAAGTTCAGGAGGGGAGGCCAGGAGTACAGGAAGAACATATCCCTTCTCTTTAAATGTGGAAGGTGGCCAGGGGGGACTTCCCTATAGACCATTCAGCTATGCTCTACAGGGATGACTGGTGAGCTACCGGGAAATTGTACTTTGTACCTTTTTTCTTGCAGAGGAAGGATGGGCAGTGGCCTGAGGCTGGGAAATCCCCCGGCTGAGTGGCACTGTGGGGATTAGTCTGGCCTCTGCTTCTGGAAGCCCTGTTCTCAGCCTCCAGAGTAGAGCCCTGAGGCTGGGTAGAAAGGCCTGTCTCTCGGAGTCAGCGGTGGATGGGGAAGGACAGGGGAGGAAGACCAGGCACTGTGTTAGGAGCCTTCCTGTCTCCTATTAACCCCGAGTGTCCTTGGCTCAGGCCTAGGCAACAAAGGGGGCACGGCAAGAGGAGAAACACAAATCAAGAAGTGATGCTTTTTTTGAAGGAGAAATTATAAATTGCAATTTAATCACATAATCACTTTGACACTCTCAAGCAAGCTAATTTCTTCCCTTGCCTCATTTCATCCACTCGGTGAGATGAATCTTAATGAATAATGTCCTATGAATATTTAATTTTTGATCAATTTGAATTTTCTCTGGCATACCTGCTGGAGACATAAATCAGCTCCTTTCTGCCCAACAGAGTGAATTTGGACAGCAGCCTGAGTAGATCTCTGCCCATGGCCACAGAAGATGCCAGCCTGAAGTTTTTGATGTCCTTGTTTGCCACCATCTCAACATTGTGACTTGGACCTCTGTCAGTACCATCCCTAAGCTGTGTTTTCTAATACTGCTCTATGAGCAGAAGTCTGAAGCCGTGGTTGTCTGGGCAGATAAGATGCATCTGAAACTGA